CTCCCAGATGACCCTGGTGCAGGTAAGGGAACCCCCTACCCCCACCTCCGGCGGCCACTCTGGGGCGTTTCGTGGACGGGAGGGACAGGGACAGCATCAGCCAAAGCCTCCGTGAGCTGAGCGAGGGGCAGCGCTGGGTACCAGCGGAGGCGTCAGTGCAGCCAAGCAAGGGCAGGGGTCCTGTGCACATCCTTCCCGCCGGGCTCCCCAGGGCTCCCAACCCCCAGCAGGGCCGTATCCCCCGAACAGGAATCCGCACATCTCAGCTCTCCAGGCTGGAGAAGTGCTAAAGGCAATTGGCGAAAGGTGTGTGCTTTCCCTCCTAGGAAAAGGTGCCCTCATCCTTTAATCTCATTCATAAATATAGTGGAAACATTTTTGCTTAGTCTTTAAAAATCTTCAGGTAAAAAAAAAAAAATCAGTAATGGGAGATTTCAGCACAGAGTAGGAGTTGCTGAGGAAGTTGTAGGGAGCTACTCTTCTACTCTTCCCTCTTGAAAATGGGCTAGAATGGAAACAATCTGAATCACCTGTTGCACAGACGTTAGTGTTACCATACCCATGGTGTGCGGCGGCTCAGCATGCAGTGACTGTGCTTCACAGTCTTGCAGGAATTATCATTATCATGTAATTAAGCATGGGGAGTAATTATTTTGCTCTCAGGTAAAACTCCCTGAAAACACTGGCAGCTGTGTTGCAGTAAGAGGTATAAAGTTGGCTGCAAATGTTTATAAATCTTACTTCTTTGTTCTCTTTGCCATCTGGCACTCTATTGAAATACGTGGGTAAATGCTATCGGTTGTTGAGTGATGCTGTCTCAGATGTGGAGGCTGCAGAGATTTATGCATTGTGAATAATCTAATTTCTTTACTGCACGCTACTGCTAGGTGCATGAAATGAAACACATGTGTTTGCAGGATCAGGTCCCCAGCACTCTGCCTGACACATTATGTGTCACTTTGCAAAGGACACAAAGATATCAAAATAACTTGAAGTATTAGAAGAAGGTGATGGTAATTCAGCATATTATTTTGAGTCGTCCTTCAAAAAAGCCTGTGCAATGAACTCTGATCCTAGTGACAACAAAATGGGAAACTTTCGCAGTTTTAGTACCTCACTGTGAAACCATTGCACTAGAAAAACCCCTATAGCTTTGACAAAAATAATATTAATGTCTCAGAAAATGCCAGTCGTAACTGGAAGATAGAGTTAAAACAACTTCTTTTGCTTTTGAAAAATATACATGAAAGGTTTGCTCAGACTTTTAAAAATACGACTATGTAAACACTGTCCATTCAATGCCACAATTCAATGGGAGTAGCTTATTGGGCTACGGCTTTTGGAATATTCCTGTATTTTTACATGAGAGTTAAAACATACATCCAGAATACATTAATTTCACATTAATGACATCTTGAGGAGTTCTCCCTTTTCTTCTATAAATGCCTTGGAATAAACAGACAAGGGAAAATACTGGTGGGTTTTTGCAGTATTTCTGTCATTGCAGCTTTGATAAATCCTGATGGAGATATGCTATGTTAGCCTCTATAAAAGCACCAAGGGAGCCATGGCCGCTACTCCACAGAGTTTTACGATCTGTGTAAGGTGTAGAACAAAATTAAAAAGAATCAGGGAGGGCTACACGTATCTCTGTTAGACCGCCGTGACTCTAGCGGATTTATGCTGAAGCTGAATTTGGCCAGCCTTGTTTCTATGAACTGTAATATTTGAAAGAGCTGTGCAAACCAGCACATCTATCTTCATTTACAGAAGCACACCATCAAAAAGAAATCCCAGATGTTTCTTCCATCATTTGAGTGCAACACTCTTTTAATCCAGGAATACGATAGCATCTGTGTGCGAGGTAAATACGCATGTCTGGCACGAGGAGTGATTCCTGAGCCTGGAACAAAACAACACACACCTCACATCTACTTTTCAGATGCCCAGAAAGAACAAGACTGTCATCCAGATCAAAATTCTTGTTCTCTGAGAGTGAGAGAGAAAGTGCCAGGCTGTGATCTCAGTCACACTGGGTACATCTGAAATAGCTTCCTGAAGGCTGTGCTCCTTCAGCTGAGCGGTGTAACCAAGAGCAGGCTCAGGACTGGGCTTCGGTGTCTGTTGGAAAGCTTTGCTTCTGTCCCAGGAGGGGCACTTTGCAAAAGCATCTGCCAGGATCCCCTGTGATTGCTTTTCTAATCCAGTAACACCAGACGTCGTTCGAGAACGAGGAATAAGTGTATGATGTTTTCTCCAGGTTCCACGCCTTTACGTTCGCTGACCTGTCTCATATTTCCCACTCTTCTTCCATTTCTCGGTGCTGTCCTGGGGTGTTTGCTCTTGGTGGGAGCATATACTTGCCCCCACAGTTTTCCGCTCCTGTGGAGGCCGTTGTCTGCTGACAGCTGTTACTTCCTCCCAGTGTCCCTCGTGTGCTGATGCCTTGTTGTTGTGAGCCCTAGGGAAGGCAGAAGATACTGTTGAAAATCCCTTTGAGTTTCCACCAAAATGCCATTTAGGGAATGAATGGTTGGGGTTTTTTGTTTTTCACCTGACTGCTGACCTTGGAAAAGGTCTTCAGCAGCTGCCTGGAAGATGATGTTGGTCACAGTAATATAGATAATATAGCAGTAGCTCTTCTCCCGGTGCTTTGCTTTTGTCTAATGAACCTTATTCCAGTATGTACCTCCTATCCAAATGAGGTTTTGCAGGACTGTGGCACAGATAAAACCGATCCTTCTGTGAGACAAGGAGGTGAACATCCATCCTTGTTTTCTGCTGTTATTATTAGGACAGTATCTGCATGTTGGATTTTCCACAACTTTTTTTTCATTAGTTTTGCTATCACCCAGTTGGCTGTTTTTAAATTAATTAATTCTACCTCGCTAATAGTTTGGCTTAACCCCCTGTTCCTGAGTGCAGTGGGACAGCAAGGGGGCTGTTCCAGCTACATATCTGACTCGCGCTGCATCAGGAAGTCAAACTTTCAGGTACGTAGGGTTTCACCGGAATCATAAATCATCTTGTTTCTTAATAAGTAGTAGCAAAACCTGGGGCAAATTCTGGGCTGACTTATTCCTGAGCAGGCCAACAAGGTCTCTGGGAGTCCTCAAGGCAAATGTTATTGCAGATTTCAGTCCAACAGTCCAAAGTTTTCTACTTCCCCAACTGACAAAGCAGGAAACCAAAAAAGCAATATAGTTTGAAAAACCATTTTATGTTTTGCTCCAATTAGATTCCAATTCAGAATCCAATAATTTGTCCTATTAATATGCTATTAATATGCTACATTTTCATTTGTATTATTACCACAGTGCTTGATTTATTTTATTTTAAATTTTGATTTAGATGTTCTTGTGAAATAAAAAAGAAAAATGGCTGTATATTCCTTCCAGAAAGGAATATGAATGGCTGTATTGTTGAAGTTTTTTGCAAGACTAGGATTAATATATTGGTCATGTGCAGCTATGGATTTAATAGCATTCAGATTCGTAAAGGCATATCTGGGTTACTGGAGGAGGAGAATCGCTTGATTTCTGTTCCCTGTCTGAAACTTTGGCCTCTCTTATGGACTAAAGCAGAACAAATTACAATAAAATTGAAGATTCTCTTTAGAAGTAAAGCCAGAGGGTCAACATTTCATGGTGCTGATATAAGTACCTGATGCTCTTTGGGAATGACTGAGCTGCTGTAAAATATGAATGCTGGAGAGCACATCTATTATCGTTCTCCTTGGGTTTTGTCTTTTTACTTCTTAAAGAACTGCATGATTGTTAGTATATAAGAATAGTGAGTTTCATCATGCATTTTTCAAGATGCTTAGTTTTTTGGGAGGTTTCTGAGACAAAGATTTTCCTACTGTCTTGTTCGTCAGTCCTTGGTTTGGGGTTTTTTTATTATTTTTGGAGGTCACAGTAGTGTAACTTGGGACCATGGTAAGGGATGGATGGCTTCTGGCAGCTTCAGTTGTTTCTTTTTGTAATAGCTTAAGTGTGGTGCAAATAGGCACTTGCAGTGAGTGGGACCTACAGCAGTAGGCAGGCAACTTTCTAACATTTGGGGCTGGTTGGAATTAGTGGCAAAACTGTCCTTGGCTTTAAAGGAGCCAGGAACAGCCTGTAATAACCCAGGCAGCGACTGGAGCTGGGGGTGAGCGCGCTGTCTGGTGCAGCTTGTGGCCGCAGAGCCTCATCCAGTCCACATACCTGGAGGTGGTCCAAGACTGAAGAGTGGGAGAGATGTTGAATCTCTTGATGTCTTAGAAATCAGGATTTTCCAGCAACATATGCCAGTGCCCCAGAGCAGGAAGGCTCCCAGAGATACCACACCATAGATCTAGCCTAAAAATCTCTTGGGTGGATTTGCCTCACTTTCCTTCAGCTTTAATGGGCCTTGTTGCAATTGCATTTGGGGTAAGAGTTTCTGGAGTGAGTTTGCTGCTTTGTGCTTTAGCAGAAAGCTTCTGCTGTAAATGCTGACTTCAGGTTCTTTCACAGTGATCAAATACTACTATTAGAAGATTTAAAATATGACCCAGCTTTTCATATTGATATGCAGAAAACTAATCATTGGCATGGGAAGAATGAGCCCAAAATAAACCAAGACTACTATGCAAAAATCACTCCTGCTAAATTTAATTGCTTTTATGTATGAGTCACACTAATACTACCCTATCTTTCTTTTCTGTACATGGCACTTCACTGATGAAACATTTCAATAAGTAATGAAATGGAGCATAATGAAATCTTTCTCATGAGAGGTTGGAAAGCTGTCAGTTTTGTAAGATGTTGCAGGAACCGCTATAATATTCAGTGGGACCCTGGATCGATCCATCTCTATGTTACATACTTGATTTCAGAGTTAACGCTAAATCACACAGCAGCCAGGTGACTGCTGCTTCAGCTGAGCGGTCTGGAGTGAGTTTGTTAACAGCATTAGAAAGTGGATGGATTCCAGCCCACCCTTTCTGGTTTACTGTAATGATTGCTGTGACAATATGATGAATATAAACAAGTAGGATTGGAAGAGAATGAAAATGACTTACTCTTCTCTGCCAGCTACAGTTTTGGTCTAACCTGTCATAGTAAACTACAGGGTTTGTAAAGTTATGTGTTTGGCATCTGAGTGCTGATCCAGGGCTCACTGTATTTTCGGTAGAACCCTGTTTCATGTAAACGTGATTTTAAGCAAAATCAAAGTGACAGGCTTAAGGCGCCACTGCTAAGTTCTGGGTGGGACTCTGAACTGAAGTTTTGTTTTTCCTTTAAGCAGATAATGTGTATTTTTCTCATAATGACTCCAGAAGAGATTATCGATCCAGAATAATTAGCCCAATACTTCTGTGTGATTTATATAACCTTAGCTACAATAGACAGCTGACAAAACTAAGGCCAAAATCCAACTCTGAGGTCTACAGTTTGGCTCTCTAGTAGGTGGAGTAGCATGTATTGATAAAACATGTGTTAACTTGCTTTGCAGGTTAACATAAATTAAATAGTATGATCGTTCCCAAGTCAGACTATGACTGCAGTAGACTCTGGCTTCCTCTGTGTGCACTTTCACAACACAAAGATGTGAGTGGGGCTACAGACTCCCAACATTCTTTACATTCTCCTTTGCAAGTAATGCTGCTCTGCCTCCTTCTTGCAGAGGTCATGTCAGAATACACTTACTCCTGCAAGGAGTAAATAGCATTTTTAAGACCTGATTTATCATTAAATAAATATTGTTAGAGTGTAGGTAGCTTGCCTCTGCTCTAGCTTGTAGTGAGGTTATGGTGAGGTCACTCTCAGTATCAGTATTTCCTATTTTATATATTTTTAAGTTACATAGAGTCAGTGCTAGCATTTTCTTAGGTGTGCTTTCATGCAAAGTCATTGCATGTACACAGGTCCCATTTGGTGCTTTGATTAGCACTGCTGGCACAGAAGACTGTACCGTGCCCTTTTGCTCCTTTGGTGCCTAGAGCACTATGAAATCCTTGTGTTTCAGCCTGACTTTTTGGTGACGCTATATGCTAGAAAGATATTGACATGTATCTGTTTTGCGTTGTCAAACTCTAGGAAGTGTTCTCAGCTGCGAAGGAAGACAAGCTAGTCTGTTGTTTAGTAGTCAATTGGTGAGGAATCTGCATCTTCACTGGTTTTTAGGGTTTCCACAACAGAAAGAGTTCATAAAAGCTGCTGCTCTGCAGAGCAAATGTTTGATTTCTGCAGTGACTCAAAGTACGTTGTATTCTGTGAAAGACTTTCCTGATACTCACTACCTGTCAGGCTTAGAGTACTGATAAAGCGTGAGGGAGAATTTGGGCTTTTATATAACCAAATTCAGAATGGGTTTTTCTGCTCAACAGCTTTTTGTAGCCTACATAAATGTCAAAGGCAAATTATTGAACATTAGCTATTAGTTTTAATTTAGGTTCTTAGTAATATATTGAAGGTTCATATTGAAAGTTCAGGGCATTATCTTTAAAATAAAAAAGGAAAAATGAATATAAAATTAGTATTTTGGGACACTTTAATTAAAACCTTAATAATGAGGGTTTGCTAACACTTGTGAAGGGTGGGAAACCTGAACCTGCCTTCTTGTCTGAGGTTCCTGCTCTGCTCAGTGATAGCTTCATGGACTCCTGTTCATGTTTCCCTTCTTTGAGTTTTCTTAGGGCATACATAAAACTCATGAAAACTCTATGGATTAGGTTTGTTTATTTGCATCAGTTTCAAGGGAGACTTAATACACTCATTTGTATGCAGGTATCAAACTGGTTTGCCAATGCAAGACGTCGCCTGAAGAATACGGTCAGGCAACCAGATCTTAGCTGGGCTTTACGAATAAAACTGTACAACAAATATGTTCAAGGAAATGCTGAACGACTCAGTGTGAGCAGCGATGACTCATGCTCTGAAGGTTTGTTGATGCACTTTTTATCAATTTTAAACCGATTAAAATATATTTAGGAAGGATCGGATACCCCGAGTTAGCTCTGGTTTCTCACAAAATGCCCTCGGTGGATCCACCTTTACTTTTTGTGAAGTAGGTGCCATTTTTGGCTCCCAATTGCTATGCAGCCTTGCAAAGCGGGATTGTGTAGGTTAATCGGGGTGACAGTCTGTTGCATGTTATCTGCCTCTTTTGTATAGCATGGTTACTAGCAGGATAATTGTTAGTTCATTAGATTCTACAAGCCTATTCCTTTAATCTGCATTAAAGGAAAAAATTGATTACATTTGTTGGTTTAAGGAAACAAGAAATCTCTTGGCTGTCACCTTCCTTGATGGAAGGGCTGTAGCAATAACACATCATTACAAGAGAATCTGATTAACAAGAGAATCTGATTAACTTCAGTGGGACTTATTATATGGTAAACTGAATATTACTGTTATTTATTTTGTGTACTTTACCAGCAAATATTTTCCTTAAAACGTGCACTGAAATTTTCTTTCTTATCCAAATTAACAAATGCAGGAATTTTTTTAATAGCACTCCATCTTTTTAATGCAACATTTGTATGAATTATGTCTGTAAGTACGTTTTTTGGTCAGTTATGACATGGGGATACATTGACAGGAACAAATGCTATAGAACATTGTCAGAAATCTGTATGTGAATTTTTAGAAGAATGTGTTTCAATTTGTACCAGATTTCAATTCTCTTTGTTCCAGTTTCAGTTTATACTCACATTTCTTTGGTATGCACTTCCCTTTAAAATATTGGTTGCAGGACAATTGAAAGAGCACAGTTTTAAGCATATACGCTTAAATACACTGTAGTATTCATGAGAACCTAATTTCAAGTTACAATAGTAAGAGTTCATCTTATTCATACAGATTTTTGAATGTTTATCATTGGTTAAGGTCACTTTCAGTTTTTTTCTACCTGGCTTGTGTTGCTCATGAACAAGTTAGGCTCAAGAGACTGTTTTCTACAGTTATTTAATTTGGAAGAGCTGGAACATCTGCGAACCCTGCGAACTACTGTGAGCAATGTGTGAACAGAAGAAAATGAAAATCATTGTGTAATGCTGGAGTCTAAGGTTGTTGTCTAGTTTTAGTTATAGCAGTTTAAAACATGTAGAGAAAGCCTCTTTTTAAATATTCAGTATTCAATGTACTACTGTATCTTTGTTCTTTTATTTTCAGATGGAGAAAATCCTCCAAGAAACCATATGAATGAAGGGGGATATAACAAACCAGTTCATCACACTGTGATTAAAACTGAAAGTTCAGTAATAAAAACAGGAGTGAGACCAGAAACAAGTGCCAACGAGGATTATGTGTCACCCCCCAAATACAAAAGCAGTTTATTGAATCGTTACCTAAATGACTCACTGAGACATGTCATGGCTACTAATGCAGCTATGATGGAAAAAACAAGGCAAAGGAATCACTCTGGTTCATTTAGCTCCAATGAATTTGAGGAAGAATTGGTGTCTCCATCATCATCAGAGACAGAAGGCAATTTTGTCTACCGAACGGGTAGGGGATTCTTTCTGCATAATTTCTAATATAGCCAGCTTTGGTGGATGGTGTCACCTGGAATGAGTGTCACCTGATTGTGCCTTTTATGGGAATGGGTAACTCCTGTCCATCCTCTCATATGAGAGTGGGTAACTCCTGTCCACTTTTTCATTCACTGGAGAAGTTCCACCTGCAGTATTGAAGTTAAGTGCTGTTACTGACTGCTAGTGAAGCTGGTTTGCTTTTTGAGTGGAGCTGTGGGGCTGATTTTTGAAATGACACTTACAGGCCATTTTTGTCAGCACTAAGACAAGCCTAAAGAAGGAATAAACTCCTGAGCATTCTATTCCAGCAAGGGAGGACTAGAGGGGGACTGAAGTACTCCATAGCCCCAGCTGCGGGGAAGAGGGTGGCTTTGAAATTTCAAGGTGGCTGTTTGTGGCACTTAGGTGAGCCATATGCCTCCCCAATGGAGTGCACGGGAACACCATCCCTGGTTGTACAGCATCTTTTCAGTCCTCAGAGTGCCTTCTCAGGTGCGTGGCCCTTTGGTGCTCATGCATCAGTTAGGAATACATGGATTAGTTTAGACCAATTTCTGCATCGCTCTCCAGACACAGTGCACCGAGCTAAGGGGCCACAGACTTGGCCATTAAATATCTTGGATTAATGTTTTTTTGAAGGGTTACACATAATGTATTATTTTAATCTTACCAATAAATTAAAAAAAAAAAAGCATGATTTATATCATCTGCTGTGTTGCCAGTCAGAGGAAGGCACACAAGAGTGCCTGGTTCGTGCCAGTAAAACTACTGTAAATCAGGGCAAGATCAGGACTTGTTCAGGTTCCTGTGGGGCAGGGAGCGCTGGAAAGCTCCTCTTGTGAAGCTTGTTCTGTGTTTCTTTGGGGACATAAGGCAAAGGCTGTCCCCTTATCTTTGAAAAAAATGAAATTTTGCATCCCAGGCTCTGGAGGTCTTTGTCAGCATGTCAGGGTTTCCACCCATTGCAGCAGTGCTTGTTGTTGTCTCGGGGGGGTTATTCTGCAGGGACCACCCTGTGGGCAGCACCGCTTTCGGGATGGATGAATATTGATGAAAAGTACTGGAAGGCTTTGCGTTGAAGTTAATGTAGATTTAGGTGTTGTACTTGGTTCCCCTTGGCTTCTCTGGCAGGCAGGTTCAGGTGCCCCTTGGCTTTGCAACCTCTCAAGTTTGCAGCCTTTGCCCTCTCTCTCCTGGCACATTTCATGTGATTCTTTGTCCCTGTGGTGGGGCCCCAAGGATTTCAGGAGGCTGAATGCTCGGGTGGGGGTAGTAGGACATTGGTGCGTGCAGGTTGTCAGGGGATGACCAAGGGGGAAGTGGGGGCCCCATAGAGAAACGGGATCTCGTAGGGAGCAAGAATAGTGCATGCACGATGAATAACTTTCAAAATTAACTCTCTCTGTTCATTTAGCTTTTTTTTTTTTTGACATACCAAATGCATTTGGTCTGTGTTATGGGTGTATTGTCTGCCAAGTTTTATGTTTAAGTGAAAAGTTACTCAAGAACAGATGCAGCAGCTCAGATATGTAAATCTCTGGTTTTCTATACTTTTATACCATAACTTAAAAATGGACACAATGACTTTTTAAAAAATTGCAATAAATTTGCTACTGGATTAAGTTCTTCTTGCCAAGTTTCAAGCTGCACTGAAAAATATGGTCTTTAATGAGAAGGCTGAGACAGTCACGCTGTAACTGTGTGAGTTCAAAGCTGGGCTGGAGTGACTAAAAAACAGTATATTTGTCCTTAAAGTTCATAATTGGCATTCAAAATTCCTGGAACTCCTCTGGAGATCATATTTAAGTCAGTTTTTAAATATCATTGTTAACATTTTGAAGTGCTATGGCCTCTGATGAGAACACACCAGCAGTTCTCAGGATATAGTTTTATTCTTTTTACACTTCCAAAGTAGACAAGCAGTAGCCTGCTGATAGAAAGGAAAAGATCACGTGCACACTCTATACTGTTGATATATCCCTCCTATATATGCATGCACATTCAGGAAATAATACGTACAAATACACTTTTTTCAGCTAGAAGATTACAGTCCCATTCATGATTTTCTAATGATGTTATAACATGTGGGAATTGAGCCCTTCATGAACAAAGCAGATATTTTCAACTTATCATCCATTCATGAAATCTATTTAAAAATAGATTAAATTATCCAAATGATAGTTAATAGGAAGAGACAAATAAGGATATTTTATTTTTTTAGTCCTTTCTCTGTAATTTGAATACCTGGGATGGCAGTTCTCACTGCAGTTGTATAGCAGATCTGTATCTGTGTTCTCAAAACAGCTGCAAACCATTTTGGTTAAGCAAAATAACAGGGTATGTCTGACTGTACCACCCATACCTTCCTGGAAGCAGCAAGTGTATTTTTAAGTGAGATATTCCCACTTACAAGGAGCTCCCCGCTGAAATTTTTTGTTAAGTGAAGCAGCTAATTTTTAACACAAAGGGGTTGAAGCAGAATTGTGAAGTCCCTACTAGATGTTTTAGTTTATGAAGACATTTTGAGTAGTATTTCAAAAAGCACGGAGTCAAAACTGATTGATATGTTATTCTTGAGAAACATTTGGCAAGGTTGCCATGCTCCTAAGAGCAGGCAGTCATTGGTGTTGAAGAATCAAATTCTTTATTGTGCTTCCCTGGAAAAGCAACTTTTCATAGCAAATTGTGAGTAGAAAGCTTACTCACCGTGTCTGTTTCGTGTTATGGGCCAGACTGATTTCAGGTACATCAGTGTGTCCAGAGCAACTTCGCTTGCCCAGTGCCCGAGGTCAGCGTGACCATGTGTGTCTCAACAACCCGTGCCAAATTAACAGAGTACGAGTGCAATGTCCAATGACACAAGAAATTATGGTTTAAAGTTTATAAGGAAAAGGGGTTGTAGAGTTTCCCATTTCAGTCATTAACATTCTTATAAACACGGGACCATATGCTGTTCTGGCTTCATGCAACTGGGAAATCCCGTCTAAGGCTCGAGGACAGGCTATATAACCTACTGTCAGGAGATCGGCCTCGCTTTACACCTCTGCTCGATTGTGGCCAGCTCGCGGGAAGTGGCTTCAGCGCTGGGGCGGGAGCAGCACGCACCGAGCCGGGTCCCGCGCAGGTGCGGTGCCGCCCTGCCGCCTCCCCGGCCGCTCTGTCCCGCTCCGGCTGCG